TTCTAAGGAGCAATAGAGACTCCTTCCACAGTTAATAAACAAATTTTAATAAATAACTTAATAGCTACCAAGCTCAATAAAATAATAGCTTTCTTAACAAGCAAAACAGGAGTTGCAATTATACTTTTATGTAATTTATAATGTTCTGTTTTGAACAAGCAAATATAATTTACATGAGTGAAAGCTGCCTGCAAAGCCCAGTGCTCACAACATGATGTGAAGTATAGTGGGGTGGGGGGGAAAGTAGAGATTAAGAGGGAGATGTACCTCTGGGAAGTTTTGATCTGGGTTTTGTGGCATAGACTTTGTAGATCCAAATGGAATTAAAATAAAAAATCAAGGGCAAGTGCATATACACAGAGCTCTAGCAGAAAAAAGTGGCTGGTTCTAGTTATGTATTAGTAACTGTGAAGTAGAAAGGCTATCATTAAGAAGTTAATCAAAGTATTCCATCAAATGGTTTAGAGATAAGATTCAAATCTCATAAGGAGCACACAGGTCTTTTTTCCCATGAGTATTGCATTGGAAGAGTGACCATGTTTATGTATTGTAGGATTAAACATTGCAACCTTGGGAAACCATGAGGTTTGGTTTTGCTCTTTTAAGTTCTTGACATTCCAGTTAAACTTCTTCGATGCTATTTTGTTTTCACAGTAGGTGAAGTCAAAGGCATAGATCAAGCATGGAACTTGTCATCTCCAGTAGAAGTTTAGGAATTTATGAGCAAAAGAACTCAAATATAAACTTGCCTGAAGCCTTTATGATACCAGTTAGAGTGCATCTGGTGTAAGTAGTAATCAGTCTGAGTTGTTGTGGTCATTGTTTTTTCCCAGTTATTTCTGTTGGTGCTTAGAAGAGGGAGAAGACAAAGAAAGCAATCACAGGGAATCTGTCTGCTGCAAAATTTCATTATCTTCTTGTATGAAACAAATCCTTAAATCTCAACTTTAGAGTTTTCTTTTGCAATAAATTAGAATATATGTCATTGAAATAAGTGGGAAAATTACATCACCATGTATTTCTTCATAATTTCATAACACAGAGCAAAATACAGGTGTTTTGCCATTACTGTGTCAATATTACAAAAGTCTCTAAGCAATAATTGTTGGTTATCTTCTCCTTTTGAGACATAACTGTCTGTACTACCAGCCCCAAAGATAGTTTGAAAATGCTATTTAAATTAAGATCATATTTATCAGAGGCAAAGGTAGTTCAGCTGATGGCACCTATGTCTTAGGAAAAGACCCTGAGCTCTAATATCAGTGGATAAAGAGACCTGTGGAGAAAATAAAAAGGAAAAAATCTACTTCTCTGTTCTGAATTGTACCTAAAGAAAACAACAAGTCATGACTCCTGCCCTTCACCCTGGGACCGTGTCTGCCTGGCGTGGGTGGCCCTTTTTTGCATTTAGACAATGCTGTGCCAGCCAGACTGAGACATTATGACTCAGTAATTTGCTACTTGTGCAAAAGCTAAACTGAGCAGAGCTACTCTGTGTGATGCAAATAGCAGTGAGTTGGTTTGCCTGTATCAGGAACAGGAGGCTTCATATGCTGTTTAGCATAGATAGTAGGTAGCAGGATTAAAGGTGCTGAGATTCTTGTAGAAAGACCAAGAAGTACCCAGAACAATGACCCACATGTTGGTTTTTTTCTTTCTTTATTATTCCACACCTAAGCCAGTGACTTGAATTTTGGAGTTAGTTTATTTTTAAGCGCATGATGTTATCCCTGATAGACTCAGTAGTGGGGAATGAGTCATGCACACAGTTCTGGATACGATGTGCACGTACACTGTGCCAGATCTACAGCAAATCTGGAGCCCACAAAAGGAGGAGCAGAGAAGAAAACATTCACTTAGGTCTGGGTCTTTGCTAGAGATGCTCTTGAATGAGGAACAGGAGCAGGGCAGGCAACCCAAGGAGTCAATTTTCACAGCCCAAACCTCTGTACTGCATATTGTGGGAACACAGTAATAGGGTTTTCACACTAGTCCTGGTGTGTAGAGAGTGGAATGTGCCTGAGCAGGCATGTGGGCAGAGTAAATCCTTGTTGCAAATCAACCTGAGTCACTACAGTCTGAGAACAGGAAAGATAAATGGATTGCTGCAGATTTAACACTGGTGGTGTTTACGATCACATTAGTATCTCAGTGATTTTACAGAGAGACCTTTAGTAAAGAATAGTAAAGATTTTTAATAAAACTTTCTGTGGATATATCTGCTCTAGGAAAGTAAGGTAAACACCAAGGCTGCAAGCCCATGTAGAGCTCTCTGACCAGCCAATACAGTATCTGACATGGGATAAGTATCCATAGTATGTGTAAATGTGTAAAATGTACCTCTCCAAAATTAAGATCAAGTCATTTTTTGCTAGAGCTTTTTAAGAATACAGTATAATATTGAATCTCATTCTGCATTTCCTGAGTAATTTTTCTGCATTGTAAAATTGGAAAGAATTAATCCTCTTGAGTATTTTTAGATCAGTTAAGGACATTTAAAAAAACCTCTCTTTTGGCTCTACGGAAGTGAATTGTTCACATTCACTGGGAGATTCAGTTTTAAATCATGCTCTTCATTCATTCCTGTTTTAAATGAATATGCAGAAGCTTAAGATTTTTTCCAATGAAAGTTTAACATTTCAGGATATACCCTATGGAATTTGTATCTTCCACAATGTATTGAAATTGTATTGCAATACTGCTCTCTGTTTTAAGCTCTCTTCTAATAAAAGTACAGGTAAGTATCTCATGTAATGTGGATTTTAAAAATATAAATTATCTCTACTGTCATAAATCTGGTACTTCACATTTGAAAATATGAAATGCTTGCAGTTTATAATGTTAAGGATTGTAGCCAGGGTTGAATTTATGAACAGTCTCATTTGTGTCTTCTTAACTCCATGTAAATCTATGTGCATATCTTAATTGAAGGCACATTTGGAGGATTATTTGCATGAAAACTGCTGATGAAGACATGTAGAAATAGGAAAGTTATTTTAAGACAGCTATAGTAGGGTATTTTCCTATCCAGGATGTTTGTTAGCTCTGACAAATCTTTGTTAATTTTGTCTGGCTGTTTTCATGAATCTTTGGATTCCAACAAAAGCTAATAAATCCAGCTATGAATGCTTTAAATACAACTACATTTCAGAGAATATGAATCAGAGAAGGACTACATATATAGCGTTGATACAGAAGAATACACATTTGTTGCTTTGTGCTGTGCAGTAGCATTCAGAGGAAGACTTGCTCCCTCATCAAATTTCCATACATTTGAACTGCTCTTGCCCAGAGTTAGGGCAAATTGCATGACAAATGTTAAAATCATTAACACCCATCCCAGGCAATCAAAGTAGCTGCTGACCTTTAAATGTGAACACATTCACATACCAGTCTACCAACCATCTGGTGTGACCTGACATTTCCATTACAGGCACTCCTGTCTCACAGCCCCCCCTGCAAAACACCACAAATGTGATGATTTGTGCCCATGGTGGTTGCCATCTCCTTCTGCTAAGTGTCCTCAGGGAGGGACGTTTTGCTTCCTCTGGCCCTTTTATTTCCATGCTTATTTATTTCTCTAAATCCTACTGAATTGTAGCTCTATTTGTCAGGGCTTCAAGGAAGCCACTGAATCCCCCAGACCCAGGATCCAGCTCCCCAGCCAACATGTCCAGCCAGGAATAGTCCCAGGTGATCTCTGCATCCCAGTCCTAAGGATTTGGCTGCTGCTCCCAGGGTCTGGCTGGCAGCAAGGTTGTGCCCAAGACACACTGACACACACACAGGGGTCCCTGAAGTGGCTGGTGGTGCAGGCTGCTGCACACACACACAGAGCAGCACGGGCTGCACAACCCCTCTGTAATGCTACCCAAACTCAGAGAAGGGCACAAAGCCCTGTTCTCTTCCTCCCCTCCAGGAAATCAGAATGCTGGTTCTCTGGTTAAAAAAATGTGTGCCCTCATTCTCCACATCCAGAAACACACTCAAACATGCACAGTCCCGTTAAATGTTAGCATGGCTTCTAAATCTGTTAAATATCCATGCTTGGAAGTTCTGGCAGTACAACTGGTATACAACTCACTTTCTTCTTGCCAGGAAGGGCAGTGTGATGTTTGAGTCATCCAGATGTGGAAATGTTTCTTCCAACTCACTAGCTAGTCCAGCTTGAAGTTTGCTAGGGAATTATGCACACACGCACACACGCACACACGCACACACACACACACGCACACACACACACACACACAGAGGATTAAATTCACTGAAGAAATATTAACACACAGATTTCTCCACTTAGACCTCTTACACATCAACACACAACCTGATCCCTCCAGCTGCTGCTGGCACCTGGACCTTTCAAGACACATGCAAAAGACACATACCAGTCCCTCCAGTTGCTGGTACACAGCCCTGTGGCCCACAGTCCCTCCAGTTCCTGGCACACAGACCCTTCCATGCAAGTCCCTCCATGTGCTAGTATCTAGATCCATGCACCCTAAGAACTGTGGTCTCCTCTGGCCATTGGCATCTGGCTCTCTTTTACAGGTGGATCTTTCCAGTTTCTGGCCTCATTTTCCCTCACTTTTCTTTGGATCTTTTGATTCTTCCTCTAAACACACCATAGTAATTTTTACATAAATCTACAAGCCTTTTCTGATAGCCTGTATCTCAAGCAGCCTCAACTTTTCCACAACACTAATGTTAATCATATTTTCCCCTTCCTATAATTGTTCAGGTTGACATTCTTGAGGGTTCTGCCTGAGTAGTTCCTCTAATGGACCATCAATCAGTGGCTGAAGCATTCTGGATCCTCATTATTATCTCTACTGTGACTTCCTCATTAATGTGTGTCTGTGAGATTCATTTATTACTTTCCTCATTACTTGTTATTTCTTTTATGGTGAGTAGATCACAATCAAATAACATAATGAACCAGATGCTCCCACACTTTACAAACTCTCACACTACTGACTGACAGCTGCAGCAGGACTGAGAACTGCTGGGTCCAAATCCCCTTTATTATAGATAACTATGCAATGATAGTATAGCAAACTTGGACTTTCCTGTGTTGACTGAAATTCAGGATGCCATTTTCATGTTTTCTTCATGTTTAGGTAGACTTGAAGGATAAGGCAGCCATGTCACACAATGTATTTCCATTTTTCTCCATTGAATGACGATACACAACACTGTCAGACACTCCACTGACTTTAGCACAGTGTTTTATACAGATGATGAATTATTTTCCTGACTTTACAAAGTTTTATCATGATGCTTGAGATAAAAGGAACAGAAAGAATGATGACGTAGTTGTGGTTTTGCAGTGATGTTCATCTTGTGTCTTTGATGCTTGTTTGCATTATCTTCAGAAAGATGTTTTAGTCTAAGTGAGGGAAAAAACCAAACACATCTTAAAAGTGTATAGGGAAGGGAAATATGTGCATAATGTAAGAGCATTGCTTGCAAAGAAACCAAAACTATTTATTGGACAGTCATAAAGTAGCAGTGTCAAGTATCTGACACTGTACAGAGGTACTGCAACTCAATGGGGTATCACATGAAGAGTATTAGTACAAAATTAAAAATGGAACTCTGCTTTCTGGAAGGATATTCCTCTTCAGTTTGTTTACAAAATTTCTCCTGTGCCCTGTGAGTCCCTCTAAACTATGTCGCGCTTGCAACAAGCTTCTTAAGTAAGCCCTTTAAGTAGACAAGCCTCTACTTAAAGTAGGAGTCCATGTGTCTCAGACTGCATGAAATTTCCTGTGAAAACATGCCCAAATGCTGCTTCTATCCAGTAATGGAATTTCTGATCTTGTCATCTAGACAGTTTTAATCTGATGTCTTCTTAACATTTCCTTAAGTTAATATTTCCATGGCTACTTCATGCCTTGCATAAAAAATGGCCTTTGAAAGTGGAAAATTATTTTTTATATTCACTTTTTGTTTTGACATCCTGGGATGCATTTTTTAGCACCATATCCAGGGAGGGATCTTTATTAGAATAGGCAGTAATAGATGAAATACAAATTTACTGAGCAGAAAATATGGTTTAATTACAATTTGAAAATTAGGCCCTTTGCTCACACTATCCCACTCAATGTAGGCTGTCATTGGTACAGAGTGGAGGGGGGTGGAAGAGGAGAACAGGTTTTGAATTAAGTGGGGTTGTGGTGTTTGATAAATTAGTGTCACTTAAAGGAGCTCTTTAATTCTTAACCTGTAGCCTTTAGGCTTCAAAAATGTGACATCTTCCCATTTACTTCTTAGTTAACTTAATTGTTTGCTTTTGAGTGAATATAGATATGTGTGTGTCTGTATATTTGTTGAAAGAGGCTAGAGTCACACTCTCCTTATTCTCCTTTCTTTGTTTGTACTTCTTTTTAAGGCACACTGCAGTTGTGATGGTGACAATTAGCATTACAACAAACACAGTTATGGTTGAAGAAACAGCTATTACAGTATTTTCTTGAGTTGAGCCTTTTCTTTCACACTTTTCTCCCATGTACCACCAGTTGTCACCTGCTGGACATCTAGAAAGCAGAAGAACAAACATGTAATGTCACTTAAAGATTAAAAGTGTGAAAAGGTCTACTTCAGAAAAATGACATCTGTGGTGCAATTTCTATATCTGAAAGCATAATGAAGTTATCTTAAAGTGGACTTGTATTTTAAAATTATCTTGAGTGGCCCGAGTGACCCACTGTCCTTACACACCTAAACGTGTTTCTTTCAGCTTCCTGATGTTTCACAGATTGTGCTTTCAGATAGAGCCTTTGCCAGAAATCCTAAAAGCCTTCTTGATCTTCTTGACCCCTTAGTGCTTGGTTGCAGCTGATCTATGGAGCTTCTTTTTTTTTTTTTTTTTTTTTTTTTTTTTTTTTTTATTTTTTTTTTTTTACTTTTCAAATTTAAAGGACTTGTAAGAGCTTCCTTTGCCCTCACCCAACACATGGATAAGAAATGAAATTCACAGCCCAGCAGCCATCCAGTTTTAGGACTGAAAACAACCTCCAGGGTTTGATTCCATCACCTTACCAGACCACAGTCAGCACACTCACCTCCATCTTTCTAACCTTGGTTTCTCCTTATGTATTGATTTTCTAGCTCTTGTCTAAGCCATTTATTCAGGACTAGCGCAGCCCTGAAAACATGTTTGCAGTGCATTGCAAAGATATTTCCTGCTGGGGAGACTCCGGGTAATTCAGCTTAAACAGAGGTATCACATTCCCACCCATTTCCCAACAGAAAATTAGGGTGAAAACTGACTGCTGGTCACACATTTCTATAGGACAGAAAGTAGGTCGCAAAGGCACTAAAGCTTCAAAAAGTCCAGATATGTCAGAAAATAAATGTTCTCTTCCCATAATGTTGAAATGAGGCATAAGATTGAGCATATTTTTTATTTTTATCTTATTGGAACCACTTCTTGACATTTACTCATATTTGTGACCTGCTTCTGATGAGTTGCACAAGAATTATTTTTTAAAAGGTTCCTAAATGGGGACATATAACACTTAATGCGTCATCCTGACTCCTGTGGCTCTTGGCCTTTATGTTTTCCTCACAGCACTCGCCCAGTCTACCTGCCCTGGAACAGCATCTAAGGTTACTGTCTTCAGTCTCAGAGCTTATTTGAGAGCTGGAACAATGCTAATCAGGCAGGTAGGGTGCGTAAATGCATCCACAGAGAATTAAATAAAAGTTGATATTAATCTTCTTGCAGGGCAAACAATCTTTTATTCCTCAGCTTTCTCTGCTGGTTTCAAAGGCAAGCGACTACACTTTGGTAACTCATGGTCATAATTTGCACTGTATTATATTTCTGAATCAAATTTTAAAATAATTTCTACACTGCTTCCTACATGATAAGTATTGAAAATCTACTTGAATTATATAAATGCTCTTTTCTTTCAATTACATTTATTTAACTATTCTACATTTTGCATAGGGAATTATAAAACTTGGAGTAATACATTACTTAAAATAATACACACATTTAAAATATAATTTACAGGAAAGTCAAGCAGAGGACTTCAAAATGATCAAGTGAGCAAAGATTTATTTCATTAGAAACTTTCATTACTCATCCTAAAACTGCATTTGAGAGTGAACAAAGGCAGTTACCTGCACACAGGTGCTCTGTTCACCATGACACAGACGCCGTCGTTTTCACAGGGGTTGTCTGAGCAGAAGGCTGGAGCCTCTGGATCTCCAGGCTGGGTGGTGCTGCCCGTGGTGCTGCTGCTGGTGGTGGTGGTGGTGGTCTTAGTGCCACTGGGGGGCTTGGTGGTGGCAGTGGGGTGAGGGCCAGGTTTGGTGGTGCTGGCACTTGTAACAACAGGGGGTGGAATGCTCGGCTGAGTTGACAGGAGATGTGATATATCTGCACAGTGAACCCACAGACAATAAGGTTTTTTTTCTTCCTATTCTAATGATAATTTCTAATAACAAAGAGCAGTAATCCTCTCCAAAGGTATAATGGATAAACAGATTTTTTTTCCTTTCAGAAGCAAGATGTATTTTGGAAATGTCCTCTAGAATTTTTTCAGAAACAGATAGCTTTATTCGAATTAATATATTCAAAATAATTTGCACAGGATTAGCATTGTTTTACACACCTTCACATGAGATAAAGAAATTACATTGTGTATGTACCTGTTCACAAATTTATTCAAATATACAATTTGAATTTAGACACAGGCATAATTCAAATACTGCTAAAGTGCAAATTGCATCCTATATTTATAACTACAGCACTAGTGACTTGGTATCTGACACTGTTTGCTGCATTGTAAAGAGTATCAGCTGTGTTTACATACCTTCCATTGTTAAAAGAATATAAACACCATCTTCTTTGATAAAGTTGCGGCTTCTAAGTCTCTCATGAGTTAAAAATGCACTTGTTCCAACTCCTGGACCTCTCATGTATTTAGTTCCATTGGGAAAAGTTGCTTCGGTTCCTACTTTATCTGGCCTGTCCCAAATATAGTTTGATGAGGCTTCCAGGGGGGAAAAAGGAAAAAAAGAATGTGAATGTGAGACTGCTCTGGATTTGTGTCTCAGTAGAAACCTCAATTGCCTGAGATTCCCCACTGATGAGAGGCACAAAGCAATGGAGATCTTCAATGATTTGGTTTAACCTGAGGTACTGAGAAAAGAATCTGCTGGAGGTGAGGATATTGGAGACCTAGTTGAAAACCTGTTGCATTTTCTTTTTAGTTCATTAAAGTGAGGTGGTCAAGAAGATAAGTAACACATCTATAACATGAGTTAATGCAGAGCTTCTCAAAAGAGAGTATTTCCTGCAGTAGATGTGGGGCACAAGATATTGGAGCAACCTAAATGATCACAAATCACTGAGGTTGATCCATCAAACCCTGTTCTAAAGCTCAAAGCTGAGCCTGATTGTCCATGAAAGAATCTGACAGAGGGAGAAAGATCTTCCTGCTCCAACACCTCTCTGGTTAGATAAAAAGTGTGTATTACAAGGCTTCCCTTGGGAATCGTGGACTATTTGCAATATAAGAATAAACAAGGGCAGAGAGCAAACAGACATAGGGTCAGAGAAAGAAAAGGGCACTGTGCCTGTAACAGCAGAAAGTACAAGGAAAATGTGCTTTTACAAATATCTATGGAGGACATGGTGTGGCATGTCTTTCATTTACAGAGAGGACATTAATTCTTTCTCGATTAACCACTTTGTTTTCATGTAGAGGCAGTGTCACAGAAAATGCAAAGTAAAACCTACTGGTTTTAAAGTAATAATACGAATTGGATGGTTTTGTGCCTTCCTTCCTTTTTAGTCTGAAAGTCCAGAAAACTAATTCAGTGGCAGAGATGATTTCTTTTGGCAAAAAGAAGGATGTTATTATGGCTTAAGTCCAAACTTTATCCAATGCTGAATGTGGGTGTTTTCTTTTATATCTCTCTCTGTATAGATTCCTATCATTTCTCAGAGTTACTTTTTACCTCAACTGTCACACTTCCAAGTTATTGTGGGCAATGGCCCTTATCTTCTCACATCTTAAACAAGTACAGATTAGATAATATGAATCAGTACTTTGTCCATCTGGAGGCTTGTGCTGACATCACAGTACCTTTGACAAGGAGGGCTGGGATTTGTTTGATAGTTGCTTCACTTTTATTTGGTATAAACCACCTGTATTTTTAATTCAGTATTTTTCTTTTCATGACTTCTGGAAAACTTCCATTCTCATTAAAACAGAAATATATGTTTCCTCACAGAGCATATGAAAGAAATTTTAGGAATAGATCATCCACCTGTTTCTTATGCAAATGCAACTTTTAAATCCAGAGTCCCAGCTTAACTTGCTTGTTAGTTTAATTTTTTTCTTGTCCATGGATCAATATTATTGTTGCTACAAACACATGAAACATTCCAGAAGCTAAAAAAATATGCATTAATTTATACAAAGAGGAGATGTGACCCCTTGTCTTTTGGTTGTGTTTTACATGTTTGATTTTAACTAACCTGATAACTTCAGAGGGTCTGTTGTTATACTTCTTTGGTTTGACATCTGTTGACGAATATCAGGATGCTGGTCAAGCAGGATCATGGTACCTTGTTGCCATGGACAGGGCCATTTCAATTGATCATCGTTTGCTCCAGAAATCAAGGACAAGTATATTCCTAAATTAAATGGGCTATCAATGGTACCATTTACATACAAGCTGACCTGGAAAGCATATCCTTCACTAGAGTAAAAAGGTGGGCTGTATACTACCCCACCTTTCCCTGCTGGACTTGTGTTGAGGAGCTGTGTGAAATTTCTGATATGCCAGACATGGTGGGGACACTGAGTTTCTGACAAGTTGATGTCATCAATAGAGAGGCCTCCATTTGACAAGCCACTTCCTCTCACACCTTGAAACACAACCCGGAATTTACTGGTGACATTCAAAGAAACATGATGGAGCTGCCAGTAGGTCTCAGGTGAACCTGAAAAACAAGGGTAGAGATTTCTAAGTCAGCAGCACAATCAAACACTGCACAGGTCTGTGGATCCTATACCAACCCTGTGTAAGAATTTTTCAATTCCACTAGCACTGGTGTGATGGAATATTTCTCCTGTAGATATTACTTTTTCAGTTCAAAATCATATTTGCTCAATACAGTATTTTAACAGAATTAATATGGATAATAGCACTTGTTGATGGGTTTTCAAACTGCTTTTTCTTTTACATTTTAAAATAAAATTTCATTAAATTAGTCCAGGAGTTGTGATTATTAAATCCACAAAAAGAGTTTCATCTGTATTGTTAAAAAGAAAAAAATCAGAACAAGTTATATTCATGTAACTGAACAAAAACATGCCTCAACAAAAAATACTCCAGAGGATTCTGGGAACCTAGAACTACAAGACTAGTTCATTCATTTGTCTTTGTATTTTTAAATGGCTTGCTGGAAGCTTGCCTATGCAGTAGCACTATTCACCCATCACATGATTAATGGTACTAAGGTCAAATGAAAGCCAGTCATTTGCAAAACCTGCTTCGTGCAATAGAACTTTACTGCAAGTTTGCTGCCACATCCAAAAGTGCCTGTACTAGCAAATTCCACTTAACTCAAAGAGCAGTGTACACAAAAACAAAGACCTCTGCACAGGGGCCTTGTGAGGTCAATGAAAGTAGAAGATCCTTTTTTTAAAAGTATGTGTACCAAAACAGTTTCTTTTGTGGCCTGGTTTTAGTCCATCTGTACAGAAGACCAGCTGCATTTATTGAACAGCAGGTACAGACTCATGCATCACTCTCCCAACAATCCAAAGCACAACACAATGGATCTCAAATATGTCTTAATTTCTTGACATTTTTCATTACTGATCTAATTAGGAGGGAAAAAATTAACCAAGAAACAATAAGAAAAGCACCCCACTGTTTTCCACGAAATTGCCTTCTGCATAAGCTAAAGGATTTTTACATGTACTATGTGCAGTTCAAAAATCCCCAGCTGCCACAAACCAGTGGGAAGGGTTCAGGGATTGTCCCTAAGCCTCTCAAACAGTAGCTCAATGCAAACCCATGAAAAGCTCATCGAGGGTGTCAGACCATGGATGGAAGCGGATGTAGTGTCACTCTTACTTCCACATTATTGACTGCATTGGTGAGAGTAACTTCTCACTTGAGAGAAGTGAAACAGCTCGGGGGAAAAGTGGTCTTGAACCATTCCTAAAAGTTTTGCCACAGATTGTCAAAATAGGGTGCTGCTTCTTTGGACACGCTTATGAGATCAGAGTCTTCAAAGGAAATTATGGACTTGAGAAAGCAGGAATGGGAGATGGGGCCTAATAGACACAAAAGAGTGTTTGTGAGGAAGGCTGAAGTCTGGAGAAATTAATCTTGGCATCAAAGCAGAGTTTGAAAGAGTTTGGAGGGCTAAGACTGATGTGAAGTCCGCCTTAGCAACTCTTACGTTGCCTGTTAGCACAGAGAGCACAGACAGTGAAGCCATAGAGGTGAAGAAAATAAAAAAAAAACAGGCACTGTCAGTAGCTGAGCCTAAAGGGGCAAAAAGAGACAGAAATGATACCTATTTAGTAAAAGAACTTGATCATATCCTTCTGAACTTGGTGTAGGTGAAATGGAGACCACATAATAGTTAAATATTTGAGAAAGCAATTTAATCACAAGGTGACTTTGTCAATTCTAGCTTAAAGAGCTCTTGTCCATTAGCTGACCTCAACTGATCATTCTGTAGGCCACAGGCTCCTAAAACCACAAGAATTTAATCTTCTTCAAGCTACAACTCAAATCATGATCTGTTGCTCATATATTTCAGTTAAGTAATTTAAATTTTATTTATATATTTTAAACTTAGATATTCCAGGGTACTTATGCTTTCCATTTCTTTATTATACTTTCTTATTAATTATAATTTACTCTAATATTCCGACTTCATCAGCTGCTATTGATACCAGCAATTTTAGAACAGTTAAAATGATTGCTCATGGAATTTTAGCTAGTTTGGCGAGAAAACTATCTTGATAATACAAGAGTCTGAAATTTGTGGCAATTTATTATATTATAGGAAAGCAGCTGACTGAGGATCTGTCAGGTATAATTTCAGCAGCAACGAATCAATTACATAGATAGAGAAGAAGCCAAAGAACAGCACTAGGAAATGAGTGACTTTGCCACAATAATTTTCCTCAGTACTTTGAAAAATACTGAGGATAGATTAAAACAAAACACAATTTTATTCCATACCTTTTATCTCCTTGATGAATCTCAGAGTGCCATTTGGATTGGCAGACGTGTACTCCCTGACCCAGACATTCAGCTGGTCACTCTCGTTACCACTGTTATATAAATAGAATTGTAAGCACTGAAAACCTCTTTTGGGATACAGAATTCGGCTCTCCAGGACAGCTGTGCTACCTTCTCCTCCAGCACTGGTGTCAAAATGCATGAAGTAGCCAGAATCTGCCAAAAGTCAATGAGAAATTAGCAGTAGAGGGGAGAGAAAACAGAATTTTCCTGGTGTATTTGGTTTCTTAATGCTGTATTGTAATAACTCTAGAAGATACAGTCAGGTACAAATCTCTGACTGAGGACTCTTAATTGTTCACCTTTTCCAAAGCTACAACTATTATCTTTGCAGCTTTTCTCCTAATTTCATTATCTCTAGCAAACTGTACCCAAACCATGGGTTTTTGCTCTTTACCCAGTGCCAGTAACTCACAGTTGACACTCTGGAGGACTGATTTAAATTCCTCAACTCTTGGACCATTCTGACATGTCGAGATACATCTAGCTAGATTGTCAATTAATTTTTCACCTCAGCCCTGATAATACACATTTCAAAATCCTACTCCTGTCCAAGGTCTTATTGAGCAATTATTCAGAAAAGCAGCAATCTATTTGGTGTGCCTGCATCACAGGTTCAATGCTTTATATAACTCTCATGACAGGATGTGACACTAAGACAAAAAAAAACTTAGCAAAAGAGATAAGGACATTCGATCCTCTGAAATAAGCAGATAATCAACATATCACATGATGTCCCTAGGTATGTAGATTTATGCTGCTTAGTTAAAAAACAAACTGTAGTTTGTCAAAAAATAAGCAGATAAGGCCAACCTTGAAGGAGCCCTGCATAAAACACTGCCTCTGCAGAAAACACTTCCCAGAAAGATAAGAGGTTTTTTCTCATACCTTTGCATTCTCCCATATTAGTGTGATCAGTATTTGGCCCAGCTGGAACCTGAGACAAACGCTGCCAGTCACTGTTATCATCTGAACTTTGAATCATGCCACATATATTTTCAAGTTCAAAACTGCATGTGTCCATGAAGCTTAGGGAAGAGGCTGACATTAAAAAAAAAAAAAATTGTGAATCTCTATTACACAACTCATTTTAATTCTGAAGGTCCAAAGCTGTGAGCAGAGAAAGACTAAATGCAAACACCACGTAGTCAGATGATCAGCATTCATACATACAATGTACAGGAACTCAAAACACTTGCTGATTAACACTGACATTAATAAGATGTCCTCAGGAACACTCTGGGCTCTCAGAAAACACAGGATAGCATCTGCTAATTATCATATCATGTCTTTTTTTGTTAAAGGACTACTAATTTCAACCCAGTCCACACACCTTCATATTATAGTCAAAAGATCCTGAGACTTCCCATTCTTTGTTCTACTTTCTTTGGGCCAGTCCACACATGGCCACAGATTTTGATAGAAACTCACTTATGTATCAGCTGGAGTGCTTACTTTGAAACAGAGAAAAGCAGAAGCTATTTGACTGGAATAAACAAATCTTGATTGGCCAAACATTGAATTAAAAAAAAAACACAACAAAACTACAAAACAAAAACAAACAAACAAACAAACAAACTACTTTTTTTTTGTCCCAAATGTATATTTGGGACCAGTGGATATTTCTTGTCATACAAATTTTACAGTATCTTTCATGTAGCAAGTGAAAATTTAGGTAAAGGAAGACTCTGCAGTTTATGAGAGGGAGAACACCATATTTTCTCTGTCTAAAGCAAACTCTGGATAGGTGAGAGATAGCACAGTCCAGGTTTATCCCTGTTCTTATTTTTGTTTCCCATCATACCATGTCTGAGCTCATGTGTAATACAAGCCATAATTTGAAAACACCTCAGTTAATGAAATATGTTTTAAAGTATGTATAAAATATTGTGGCTCAAAGGTTTAAAGGTTTCATTGCATAACAAAAAGGCCCTGAGAACCACAAAACTCTACCCCAATAACATATCAAATGCTTCACTTAAGTTGCAGGTCTGGGAAGTACTTAAGTATGAACTGCTGCCAAATTCAGTTCTACTGATGAGATATTTTGTGCTGTCCTCACAGAAAGCTAAAAACCCTCTAGAGGCTGCAAGGTAGTCAGAAGTGTATGGCAGATATTTTTTAAGATACAGTTCAGTACAATGTTGTAAGATCTAAGAAAAGGCTTTCACGGCAGATGTTATGCTGACTGCTGGAGAAAGAAGGTAAGCAAAAATGGGGAAAGAAGGTGAAAGAACTCTTTGAAATCAAAATACAAAACAAAACATGAAATTGATTTGGCCAAACAGAAAGGAAGTAACTGAATGACCTTAAGTATAAAGTGCTGGCTGGCATGGAGAGTTGACCTGAATGCCAGGAAGACAGAAAAGCAAGACTCAGTAGATTATGATGTATTTCTGAGATTCAGTCCTGAAACAAGTAAAGGGGCAATGAGTGAGGCAGGTTGTGAATTCCATCTGCACCAAAAGCCAGATACTTGCTTGGTATATAGTTAAAGACTGGACTCGGAAGAAAATACAGGGGGGGATGAGTGCCAAGTCCTAACTTCCAGAGGCTAAGGGAAATCTCATGGTCAGTTCTGCCAAGCAGTATGCTCCAAGGGGAAAGCAGATTAAAATCTATTGTTATCATATGGCCTGAAAGACAGCAATGAATTCCAGACTGGAGTAGCACTAAATTATCAGTCAGTATTTCTTATGCTGTGGGGTTTTTTCTTAAATTTAGGAACGAAGTTTTACATTTTTAATGCAATTTCCTGCCCACATGAGCCTCTAGCAGAAATTTAGCTTAAACATTTCCTTAAATCATGTTCAGCAAATGAAGTAATATTTTGTGTGGGTGAGGGCTGGGAGCTGTGAAGCACCATCCTCCCTGGCACAGATGGGTGATCTGACAATATTCATGTCTCTGCAAGTATCATCCACACTATACACATCACATGAAGCCAAGGGATGGACTGAGGAGTAGGGCAAGTCCTGATTGCACTGAAGGTGGTGGAAGTTTTGTCACTGATTTCAGGAGGACTGAGACTTTTTTCATTTGGGGAATGTGCCTATGGGTTAAGAATAAAGTTAAAATGGCATGAAGTATTTCCTTAATGCATGAGAATGATGGAAAATAGATAAGATTAATGGAGAGGAAGAAGGACCCCATCCCATATGAAAGACATCCTTAGCTGTAAGCACTTTTACAATGCCTAATTGACTGTGTAGTGAGTGCTAGAAGCTAAGGCTGCATATGTGTATTCAATTTAGACCTACATTAATAAAAATATTTTCATCAGAATTTTACACTCAAAAAACTGCACCATTTTAATAAACCAGTTTGATAATTGTTTAAGCAATCTGTATAATAAGGCTTAAAATACACTTATAAGCCAGGACTCACTACTTGGGATATTGTAAAAGTTTTCTTCTGAGTGCCAGGGCACACTGAATGCAGCAACAATTTCAGAATTATATTCCAATTTGATAATGGACTTATCTAGATTTCTCTGTCTCTTACTTTCATTCAGCTTTGCAAAATAAACCCCACCTGAGCAAAATAATTCTTTTGACCACTTTTGTAAGAGACCTGATTTGAAACTAAACATGAAAATTTAGAAAGTTTGCATTTTACTCAGAATGGCATCTGTTACCCTATTTGCATGAATAGGGTATATATGAATAGGCATGAATCTGTCTCACAGATTCCATGGAAGTGGAGTAGGTATGACAGCAACAGCAAAGATGCTCATTTCTGTGCAGTGTGTGAGCATCAGCTGTGGAATAATACAGGGAAAAAACAAAAGGCTTTGTGCAGAAGCACACATTTTAAGCAGCCACCCAAGGGATGAACAAAAGTCAGCTGCTGAGCAAAGCTGGTTTTTAACTAAAGGTCAGATAAAATTGCACAGAAACCTCTGCTACTCAGCAGTGTTTCTGCAGGAGGAATGTTATTTCTAGCTGTACCATTATTTCTGGTGTTTTTAACTCAATTCACTTCTCTAAATATGTTAGTATCTCTTTCCTTTGTGTCTGGATGGGTCCAGCATGTATGTATCACCCTCATTTATTTCAAATTATTCTTTCAAATAATATAAAATAAATGGAGAAACTTACTGCAGTTGTAGAGCCGGTTCAGTTTCTGGAGGTCGTACTCACTGAAACCCATTCGCTGTCCTATGACGTCAATGAAGTCTGGTATGTTGGTGATGATGGTGGGCTCAGTTCCATTCCTGAATGCAGTCTTGCTGTAGTGCATCACAGAATTGTAGTCATAGGGAACATTCAGGAAGTCTGATTTTTTATCATCATATTTATTGAAATTATGTTCTTTACCTAAATGGCAAAATTGAAAGGCAAGATTGTCTGTGGCTCAAGAGAATCAAATTTTAATGTAAAGACTTGCAGTGACAGAGAATCTATCACAACATTTTTTGTAGTAATTTACTTGTACTAACTCTGTAAAACAGTTTTATTTCCAGTCTAGGCCTATTTACTTTCCTCTTTCAGCCACTGATGACTTCTGCTGGATGAAGCAAAATCTCTGCTACCAAAAAAATATTTCCTGTGGAACTTCTTATAAACTTTGATGGGCTTTTGATACTCAAGACTGGAGAGAGTGTTTCAGTACTCAAATTACAGCAATTTGCAACTGTTTCTAATCTATAGTCTCTGATGTTCAATTGCTAGTCATTTTAGGTAACAATAAACAATTTAGAGTTGTCATCAGATATACTTCTAGAATTTAGTTTTACAGATGTTTTATGGAGTATGAGCAAAAAACCAGTTGCTTACTACTCAATAGGAAGTCAAAATTTAAATCAGTCAAAATACAGGAACTATATTTTGGTCAGTGTAAAAAAAATGCAGCAGTTTCAAATGTCTCACAATAGTGGAGCTTGTCACTGAATAGTCAGCAAAATATAATGGAAATCAAATAACAGAGTCTAAGTAATTTTCGGTAATATATAATTGCATATGCACCTGACTATTGATCATGACTAAATTCAAATGCATTAGATTTAATCATTATCCTGTTTTTCAGTCTTCTGTATGTATCTATGTTAGTAAAACATCAAGTCTGCATATATAACTTTGTTTTTGAACAGCCTGAAAGTAACAGAGGATGAGGACAAGCTAAAGAGGCAGAGACAGAGCAAAGTCCTGAGTAATTCTGTGCCATCTCTCAGGATTGTGCCAAACATACCAACACTTACAATTCACAAGCTGCATTTCTAAAGTAATTGCTGGTGTGACACAGACCCTGAAAAGTCTCTCCTGCCTGCTCAACTTCTGAACACTCTGTTCTCTCAGGTCTGCTCCTGGCATCAGGTGTAGCAGACAGGCAGAAAGAGAAGGACCAGTGTTTTCACTGGAGATTTTCTACTGGTTTTGGTCACACTGAATTTTTCAGACTGGGTGTTGGGGGTGGGGGGTTTATTATTTTTATTTCATTAAGGGCTTCTAGAGTAACTAAATTATCCTCTTCTGCTGCCCGTGGTACAACATGTGGCATAGCAGGATTCAGATCTCCAATTAGAGCTTCGGAAACCATCGTGGCACAAGCAATTACAACAGCAGCAACAAATGAGAATTTGTGATTAAAGTAGATGTCCCTTTATATTTAATTTATTGATATACTGGCTTTGAAAAGTAAGTCCAGACAAGAGAATAGCATGACCACCAAAAGATGCCTGGAAAGGATGTTCCACAGCAAACCAGAGTTTGAGAGGAAAAGCAGAGGAGTGACTGACCAGACTGAATCCTGTCCCAGACGATGCTGACATAGTCATCCCGGTCAGACCGAGACTGCTCATGCCAGAATCCCAGGGCGTGCAGGAATTCATGCTGGATTGTCCCAATCCTGTCACAGCTGGCTCCGATGGAGAGTTGCTGCAAGCCCATTTGCCTGTTTCCCACTAAGGACCAGCAGCTGGCAGTGACATAAAATAGGAGAGGGCTCTGTGAGATACACACCACCCCCATGCCATGCAAACCCCAAAACCAGTCTATTCAACAGGTATATTTTTAACCTGAGCATTGAAGTCACATTTTGTTACAGAGATCAGTTTTCCACTGATCTGTTCTTTATCATACCCCTTCCTCTCACACTTAGCTCCGTTTCAATGAACAAGAAGATGCCCATCTCTGGCTCTCTTAGAAGAAAAATATTGAGCTATTTGTGACAAAAGAATTCTAATTCTGATGATGATTTCTTTAGTACTCTGCAACATCAAAGGTTGTGGGCACATAATTTTCAGCTAGACCACAATATGTGTCTGTGAGCACACTTAGAGCATGTCCCTCTCATCAAGAGAAGTGTGTTCATGAACATTCTCTCCTCTGCCTTCCTCTGTACTGTTTGGCCTTTTACTTTGCATGGGGCTGTGGCTGCTAGGCAAGGTGTACCTCTGCATGCTGTGTTTACCTTCTGACAGGTTGATGGTTTTGACAGTACTTTTCACAGGCTCTTTTCTTTCTGGCTGTCTGTGAGCTGCTGTGCTAGAGCACTTGCTGCTTTCACACACTCCCAAGAGCAAAACTGCAGCTGTGCTGCAAGTTTTTATTAAAGGGTGAAAGAATTTAGTGAGTTATCTGCACAGGCCAATAAAATGGCACCCCATGTCCACAAACTAGCAGGCACAGAGAGCTACATTTAAACTGATATTTTATGTAGCAAATAAATCAATATTTACCCAATGAAGTATGTAAAATTAATCGGGCACAAAATATGCCATAGGATTTGCAGTCCTATCACCCCAGAAATTTAAAAATACAAGCACACCATGTGCTTTCAAACTCCATGACTTATTAGTGCAACATATTCCCCAGTATTTCATTTTCCACAGAGCAACGCAGGCCTTGCCTATTGATTACTCATTAAAATCACAACATGAGACCTCTTAAGGACCACACGTAGCATCCATTATTTCAAGGTCTTTCCTTGAACAAAGCCTCATAGTGATTCTTGTGTTGAGCAGAAGAAGTCCATCACAGGCCTGGGTCCACCTCCTACCAAAGCCACCTCTGGCTTCACAGCTGCTGCACAGTGCACAGCAGCCTACAGCAGGCACATCCAAGACACTTGGCAAAAGTAGCATCCAAATGACAGTAGGTGCAGCTGCCCCTTGCCTTTGGTCTGTCAAATGCCTACAACACTCTCAGTCAACAGCCACAGAGGGAGCATACACACTGTCTGTGCCACCCTGCACTGAGAATAAAGTTAGGTGAGTGGGACATGGCACTCCAGAGCAATGGGCACATAGAATCCTGTGTCAGCAGTGTCTTCTGGAGGGGAGAAAGGTGAGGAAAATCTCAGCTTTCCCCAGGTGTGTGAGAGCAGTACTGCCTGTGACTCAATGGTTCTGCATTGCTATCAGAGGCTGGAGGAACAGGGGAGCACTTGCTCTGACTAATCCCACTACCCCCCTTTTGGGGTTGTAAATAGACACATGCCATCAGTTGCAGTGGTGCCACTTATTTCAGGCACATTTTATACTAATGTCCTGCTACTAATTTTGTTCCCACAGTATCACAGATCACCAATAACAGATCACAGACACTCTGATTTACCAGCACCAAGCTGGAGAGACAGGGATCTGTGTCAATCTAATCCTGCATGGATTCCCTTTGCCATGTGCAACAGTGGCAAAGAGCTGAAGTGGCCCCAGGAATGCTCCATGAAAACCTGATTTTCCATGTGGAAATACTATTCATCTTTCCTGGTCTATTAATCATTTGATTCTACCCACACCATTTTAGTTTTCCTGCTGAATGAATCCTGCTCTTCATGAGAACAGTAAGGTGAAATTGCACATCCATTGCAGGTTTCCAGACTCCTCTGTGAACTTTGCAGTCACATCCTGCCACACCTGATTACCCTGCATTTCTGTAATTCACAATTACATACCTCATGTGTTTTGCTCAGCACACAGGCAAGAGTTAACATAATACTAGTAGTAACCAAGGTTAATGATAGATGAAGAATGTGTACAGGGAGAGGGCTCCTTGTATAGGGCCTTGATATACTCTGTACATACACCAGAGACTACAAATGAATTTTTACACAGGGCAGTCAATACAACAAAAGACAGCTG